ATACCAAACTTTCATTATGTGTTACAAATTTGTCTCCGAACTATTTTCCGGCCAAGTCGAGCTGACGTGTCCGATTAAAAATCTTACGTGGGACGGAGGAGTCTTGTGTGGCAGCTTAATTTTTCACATCATATGCCAAGAGGGTTTGAACCCCAAAATCTCAAAATCCAATAACCTAAAACTTGAATCCCAAAATCAAGAACCTTAATTTGAAAATATGATAAAGCAATATACAATAAATTGAAAACATTAAGACCCTCAAAAGATATTTGTTCCCATCCTAAACTAACCAAACCTTTTCAAGCTGGTTTAAGTTCAATCAGATCAGCGATTTCAATTGTTGCTTGTATTTCATCATTTTGTTCCCTACTTAAAACCATCACGAGCTCAGAAACTTGTGACACTTTTTGGATAATTTTGCTTTCCACTGGAGATGAAATACATTTGTGGAAGATAATTGAATATGCTTCTGTATGATTACTGAGTAAAGGATTCTGTTGATTTAAATTGCTGCTTCATTTATTGTAACTAAAGCACTTGATGTTCTTGGACATACTTTGAAGCCAGTCATATTTGTTTGGTTTTAATTTGCACTTGTCATGTTTTCGATTTATAGTCTATTGGTTTAGTCATGTTTTCAAATTAGGGTTCTTTGATTTTGGGGTTCAAATTTAGAGTTCTTGAATTTTGGAGTTGGGAGTTCAAATCCTATTGATGATGTGAAAAAAATAGACTGTCACGCAAGACTCCCCCGTGCCACGTAAAATTTTTAATCAGATACATCAGCTCGAATTGGCTGAAAAATAGTTTGGAGACAAAGCTGCAACACATAATAAAATTTAATATTTATTTGCAAAGATTAAAAGTTAAGTTTTATTTGGAATTCTATAAAATCAAATATATTTATGCAAATATCCTATACACATACATGTGCGTGGGCTATATTCGCGTTTATATATATGTCTCCTGAAAGCTAAAAAAATCCGAGAAATCCTCCGTCTCCCTTTTTCTCCATCCTCGCTCTCTCTCTTCTCTGTGGACAGATTCCGGTCGCACCACGGCCATACCAGAGAGAATCTCGGCTTCAATCCCATCTAAATCGCCACCGTCACTCAACTGATTAGTCGAATCGCTCGATCGGAAGTTTTTATGATGGATCAGGAGCAGACTTCCGAACCCCTAACCCCGTCGGCCTCTGCCGGCTGCAAAAAGCTCAACGCCGGGGCTCCCGAGTTTGTACCACGCGGCTCCTCTTCGGCGGCTGCGCCTCCTCCGCCTCCGCCGCTGCTGCAGCCGGTCTACGCGAGGCCGCCGTCCTTCGTGGCGCCTCTGCCCCCGCCGCCGTCTTGCTATGCGTACGATGGATACTACCAGCAGGGCGTGGCGCCTTTGTACGGGTACAATGTGAGGCCGGCGGTTCCCGCCGAGTTTGTGGCTGATGTGAAAAAAGGTGGCCGCGCTGCAGCTAAAAATGGACTGTCGGATGCTCATCAGAAAATTGTCAATCAGGTGGGTTTTCGTCCGTGCTAAATAGTCCTCTATTTTGAAATTGCTGAGTTGTTTACGTGGGTTCAGTTCAATTATTGTAGTATTTGCAGCTTATCTGTGTTTTAAGTGTTTTTATGTTCTTTGTCTGAAAAATATTGTTAGGTCGCTACTTCTTTCACAAATGTCTAGTTATCCGTTTATCCAATTTCTATAACCTTTTATGCATTGCTGTTTAGTGTTTATTGTAAACTTTTCAGGTTGCTGAAATCATACTTTAGTTTAGTGCCAAATGCCAACTTCTTCAGGTTGCTGAAGTCTGGGTGATAAATGAACACAATGAGAATGGGTTCAATTTTTTCTTATTCTTTTTTCCCATTCATCTATTTGGTGACTGATTATTGTGAATGGAATGCTTAAGTTTGCTGAACTTGTGGCTTATGTATGGTTATGCTCACTGTAGCATAGTGTTGCTCATGACAGAAATTGGGATGATACCAGTTGTGATCCACAATCACTTGTAATTCCTTTAGTATACTCCTTTTTGCATTTCTGGAAGCCGTAAGAACACATTCATTCTTTTCTGTACCAGTCACCTGTCTCTTCCACCTTCTTTCTTGAGTGTGTGATTATAAGTCATATGTTTTATTGGGATAACTACTTCCCTGAATTTTTTGCTGAAGCTTTTTTTAATTTTGTTTATAATTTCGTGTTTATGTTTGGCAGGTTGAGTTCTATTTCAGTGATATCAATCTTGCTACAACTGATCAGTTATTTAAGTTAATGATCAAAGATCCTGAAGGATATGGTGAGATTTCTTGCAACGTTATTGTCCTCTATTGAACATTCAGTTTTTAGTTAAGCCTTTTTTTTTTTTTTGGAATACCATTCAACTAGGATAAGTTGTATATAATCCTACTTGATTTAATCGCATATATTTGTGGGTTGAGACTATTTGTGTAACTGTAATGCATATATGAAGGGCATAAGCATGCAGCAGTGGGATATATACAGGTTCTGTTTTATTGGATCAGTAAGTAAAGACCTTTTTGAAGTCTAACCTTTGCTCTAAACTCTGTAACGATAACATTTACAGGAATGGCTCACTGAATGGACGTTCCCTCTTTTAGTCACTAAATTGAAGAAATAACAACCAAGTTTTGGTGGCAGCTTGAGGCTTGATTCTCCAAGTTTTTGATGAGCGTTCGTTATGAAACAAAACAAGAGCTATTTGATTTTTAGATTTTTAGACCTGGAGTATCAAAGTTTTAGTTCATTATGAACTGGATGCTAGGTTTTAGGGTTATGTGCCTGCTGATAATAAATGTTCTGCCTTAGGGCCTCATAGCCTTAGTCCCTATGCTGATGAAGCTTTTTTAAAATTTCATTTGATGGAATAAAGAATATAAACAGCTTAGTGTTTTGCCTGAACTGTGTGGTTCAATCAAACTTCTGACGAGCTGTTTCTTTTTTCCTTGTCATGTAATTGTGTATTCACTACTTGCTTCTCATTGTTGATTTACTGTGTCTTAATCGTATCTCCATCACCCTGTCATGCAGTGCCACTCACTGTTGTTGCATCTTTTAAGAAGATCAAATCTGCCATTGCTGATGTAGCACAGCTTGCTAGTATCCTTCGATGCTCAAAGAAACTGGTAAATATGCACTCGATGGAAATTTTAAAGATTTTCAGTGATACTGTCTGTCTATGCAATTGTCAATTCTGACTCTTAATTTTTTATTTGCATCATGGTAAATGTTTTCGTCTCCAGTTAGTTAGTGAGGACAACAATAAGGTTCGACGCAAGCATCCATTGACTGAATCGAATATGGAAGAACTACAGGTAGGTCTTATTTTCGTTCTTTACCTTCTGTTTGTGAGATGTTTCTCATCCTACCTTTGCATTGTAATACTCAACTTGGTTGTGACATTTAACATAGTTTTGTACTCTCTCTTTTTTCTCCTATATTCCTTTCTTAGTACAAAATTCTTCGTTTTTCATAATATCATTCTTGGTCTGTCTTCTGCGTCTTTAGTCACGTATTGTTGTTGCTGAAAATTTACCTGAAGATCATTCTCATCACAACCTCATGAAGATTTTTTCGACTGTGGGAAGGTACATGATGGCTGGTGCTCCATTTAGCAGAACTAAATATGTAACAAATGTATTGGAATTATGTTATTGCTCCTTCATGCTTTACTAATTCCTAAATTATTTGACCAGCGTGAGATCAATCCGTGCATGTCCACCTCAGAATCAGAATGGTTCTACATCTAAAATAGGAAAAGGGGATGGATTGCAATTTGGTGGCAAGGTATAATATTTGGCTGTTATTTACCCGTGTCACCGATCTACTTCAACCTTTGAATGTTTTCACATGAAGAAATATTTCCATGTTAGAATTTTTTCTGTTCTGCTAGGAAGCCATGGTTGCTTCCTTGTGGCTATTTCAGAATACTGAAAGTGGATCATGTAGCGATGTGATTTATGGTTTGAGCAAGTTTGTCCGAGCAACAACTTTTAGGGGGTGATTGGATATGAATTCAACTAGTAAAAAATTGTTTTTTTTTTTATTTTTTATTTTTTATTTTTTAACTATAGTTAAGTTTGAAAAAAGTTGGTATGGTTAGTTGTTAGTGGATATATTAAAATAATATTTAAAATAAAATAATTAAAGTTGATTTGATGTAAAGGTATGAGAAAATGATTGGAAGTGATGGTTAGTTAAAATTATGTGAGTAGATGAATAGTGAATTAAAATTGATGTGATGTGCAAGAATGATTGGTTGATATTATTTAATTATATTGATAATATTGGAGATAGTGGAGTTGAGTTAAAGTTGAGTTAAATTTGAATTTTGATTAGTTTTTTTACTGTACAATCTATATACAATCACCCCCTTACTTATTTATGTAATAAGATGGCATAATTTTTGTCAGGTGCTCACTGTTTGTCTAATTACATATCTCTAACCACTGAATTTGATATGTTCATGCAGTTTCACGTTTTTGTGGAGTATGGCTCTGTTGAAGTAGCAGAAAAAGCGGTAGGTCATATTCATATCTTTATTTATTGTTAAACAAACTTTATTCAAAAAATAAGTCCTGGGCTAGGGTTACAGCTGGTGATTCTGCTGGTTCTTTGTAGGTCACTGAACTGCAAGATGAGGCCAGCTGGAGGAATAGTTTAAAAGTTCGATTGCTGCTCAAACCTGTGGTATGTTCGACAACTCTAATTATTTATGCAAACAGTATTACCTGTAAAGAAGTAGTTACTTGAAAGAATAATTCAAGTAAAAATAGTAATATTATACATATGCAGATGGATATATATGTCTTTATGTCTTGATAAGTAGAAAAAAAGGAAAAATGGATCTCTGCTACAGTATAGGTAGAAAAAAAAGGGGAACAAAATGATAAAATTATCTTGATAAGAGAAAATTTACAGGTAAAATCTACTCACACTCGCACAAAGAAAGTTGGTCATGAAGGTCAGAACTCTGGTAAGAAAGATGAAACAGCTGTGCCAGAGATGCAGGGTTCCAAGGACATTCAGTCTGAGGATTTAGTACGACAGTCTGATGCAAAGAGTAATGAGATTCAGGTGAGTGCCAAAGTGATTTAAACGACTCCAAATTTTGTTATTAAAGTTTTTGTTTTTGGACGTTTTTTCATTTATGGACCTCTCTAATCGGATCTCCTAGAAAAAAACTTAAAACTGTGGGGTAATCTACAACTAGTGACATGCTTAAGTGGTTTCTGTTGTTGAATATATACAGTTTCAATCGAAAAGTGTGAGTTTTGCACTACTACTATGTAGCCACGTCACTTTCTAAACCTTACATAATGATGCTCGAATTTTGCCTACTGAAGTAAATTAGTTGTATATATACTTGTATAAACTTTTCTGTTTACTTCGGCTTCGGCTATAGCCGTAAAGTTGATTCGCCATTCTTTTTTTTTCCTTTTAGTTGCAAATTGTTAATTCAGCGCGTGAAATGTTGTGACGACTTAAAAAGTTCGTTCGTGAGACTTAGTTGGTTAATATAAACCTTGTGAATCAGTTGCTTTTCTCAATCCTAAAGATTTGACTGAACTTGCTATACCAGCCAAACGACAATGTGAAAAGCAATGGTCAGAGGAAAGGGCGCAATAGCAGCAATGGCGGCAAGGGCAAGGGAAGGGGCCATGGACGAGGGCGGCCCCACCCGAACCTGGCCAATGGGGGAAGTGTATTGGGATCCTCACATATGGAAGCCTCTTCAGATAAGCTGATGAATGCAGGGAAAGCATCATCCCCCGTGCCTCGCATGCCTGATGGCACTAAGGGCTTCTCATTGGGTCGAGGAAAGTCGGTGACTGTATAAAAACTGCTAGAAAAAAAAAAAAAATGAAATTCCGCCTGTTTTCTAATATGAGGGTTTCAAGTCTCTTCTTTTAAACGAGCGTGCAAAGTATGGTGAGCAAGTGACGTATTTGGCCCAGTGCTCTGTCCTCCACCGATTTGGTTTATGAAATTGCATCTTGCAGTTAAAGTGTGAAGGTTAAGGTAGTGTGCTAATGTTCGTTGGGGCTATATATATCGGTGAGTGTGTGTTGATTGAGTGCTGAACCTCTGGAAGAACTATATTGTGGTGGTGTCGATGTTATGCTAATGTTGGGGGGCATTGTAGATAAGTAAACATCTTATCTGGATTTATATTATATATCCATACATAAAAAATGAACAGAAAGAAAGGGAGAGAGAGACGAGTTCTTTAATTGTCTCTCAAGGATTTATTAAGTAAATTGAAGTTGGGAGTTGAAATTTATATTCTTTATCTGTTCACTTGTTTTTCCTACGCATTTTCCATTGGTAGCTTGTGGAAATGCTATGGAGCCAACCGTGGGTTCCGTTATGGAGCCAACTTGACTGAAAAACGAATTCTGAGAATCCGTTTTTCAAATAAATTTTTTGAAAAACAGATTCTCAGAATCCGTTTTTCAGTCAAGTTGGCTCCATAACGGAGGCCACGGTTGGCTCCATAGCAGGACTGTGGTAGCTTGTGGCTTTAATTATTATTGTCCTCTGCTGAGTTTTTACCACGAAATTAATAGGTTTGGTATATTTCACATCAGGAGCAATGTAAATAAAATTGGGTAAATTTCACATCAAAAGGTCAGAATATCTGCCAAATTATGCTATTTACAATTACAATCAAGAAGTTCAACAGCTATCAAAGCTGGATTTTAGTTCAATGTCATTTTTTGACATTATAAAATGAGGATGAACATACAAATTATGATATTGATTTCTCACTCCAAAAGCCTATTCCCAAACAGAGTGCTGTCGGAAATTCTCGATTTGCAAAGATAACACAAGCGGAAGGAAAGAGTGTTGAAATATATTTTCAAGTTCTTTTACTGAGCGAAATTTCATGAATGCATGAGCCTCTCCATAACCAGTTTGACCACTGCAGGAGCATCAACGGTAACTGCAACCTTTACTGTGGGTTTATACGACCACTCAGTAACTTCCCCAAACCTTGTTATACAGTGAAAAACAAAAATGTGAAAAATGTGTCAACCAAAAAAGAAGGTTATCTCAACAATTATTACCGAAACAGGAAACTCAGTTTGTGTGATTGTTGGGATAATTGCAGAAGCTTTGTAGTTATACATAACTAATAAATATTCCCTCCAATACTGTAGAAGTCCCTTTCAGGGCTATGCTAACATCAAGTGTAATTTCTATTTGGAGAGGAATTGATATACAACTTAATAATATGAACATTATTCGAGCTGAAAAAAAAAATATATAACTTATCCACTTTAGCTCATCTAACCGCACTTCCCCAGTGCAAAATTGAGCATGCACTTAATAAAAGTTGAAGTGAAACAAAAATTTCAGATGCCAATAATCTCCTGGATTGTATTTCACGTAAAAACGAATGTTACTTAAGAGGAACAAAATTGTACCTTTTCTGTTTGTTATAGAACAATGTTAAACCTCTCGTGATCCCAACTGTCTGAACACGAACAACGCCTTCAACACAGGTTACGAGTGAAGGATCCACAGCAGCAAGTAGAGTTGTTGGGTCGTGAAGATAGACACCTGAATTTGATGAAGTGCGCTTACAGAATGAGATCGACAAGCGCCTGCAAATCGTGTTCCTGTCTAATTTTTTCTTGATAATAGAACAAACCTTTTGTGCTGTAGGCATCATGATGATAAGAGAAGTACACATCTAAAATTTTGCATATATATTGGGCGAATTTTCCAGTCGATTCTGCCAATTTGCTTCGATTGGCGTCTGTAAAAGAACAAAAAGCATGATATTATATTTTTCAGATTGAAGGAGGCGAAACTGAAATTAATCCAATATAACCAAGCATTCTGTGAATTGTGACTTTTTCTTGAACGTTCAGAGTTGAAAACTAATAAAGAGGATGGATTAATATTTAGAATTTGATTTTAATGGTGTAATTGCATCAAAGGATAGGAAAAGAAAATTTGGGGAAAAGAAATCTTGGATTCGCAAGTAAAGGGCCGACACTGTCATGGTTGTCAGTTCAAATCATTTTAGGACGTTAATGACATATATTATACTTCAATTCAAATTTTACCAGTTAAAACAACTTGATGGGTGACATTTATTCCTATGGCCAGAATATCAGCTCCACTTGTGAAAACAAGGTCTGCTGCATCAGGATCTCCAAAAATCTAATCAAATAAAACATACAGAGAAAAATTACACAATAAAATGACAATGAGCAAAGAAAATAAAAATAAAAATAAAAATAAAAGAAAAGAAAAGAAAAAAAGAGCAGAAAAAAAAAGGCATTCTCCACGGACAAAATGGCAACATCACTTCACAACTCACATTTGCTTCAGCTGCCGGATTTACATTTCCATTTACTGAAAATGCACCACCAAGAAGGATAATTTGCCCAACATTCTTCACGAAAGAAGGATCCGACTGTATGGCCTGCATAAACGATTAAACCATAAGGAAATTGATCTACGAACCCACACATTTTTATCTTACTTTTTTTTTTTATGAGGGAACAAAAAGACTTACAAGTGCAATATTTGTTAGAGGACCCAAGGCAACTACAGTGACCTTCCCGGGATAAAGACTAGCTTGCTGGACAAGAAAGTCAGAAGCTGACTGCTCAATTGGCTTCCCTTTGGGTGGAGGAAAGTTTTGATTTCCCAGTCCATCCGTACCATGGACAAAATCCGCAATTCGAAGCTTTGTACCATTCTTTACATGAAAGAAAGTTTACAAGTTGTACCAAACAAAACATCTGATCAACATGAATTCATAACAAAATATATGCTACAGTATTAGAGATCTAATACAAATCAA